ATGACAAAAACAAATGGGGAGGAGGAGCTACAAGGTGAAAAAAAAAAAAAAAACAGAGAAAGAAATACTGCTCTACAGTTACTTTTGTCATCTCGGCAGGCAGTAATCCAGAAAACGTCTTTGGTTCGACAATTTTCACTACCTTCACAACTTGGGGTGTGAAGTCAACAGGTGAGGAGTCACAGCTTAGATGAAGGAATCTTAGCAAACACAGGTTTGTTCTTAAACATGGGATTGCTTAAATCTAAGGATGGAGTAGGGAAACTGCAAACTTTACTCTTAATTCAGATCTCAAGACACCACATTAGCATTTTGCTTCTAATGTTCATCAAAATATCAGAAACTCAGAGTTTATTATTTCACATAATACAAATATTTTGCCCAGCACTTAGATCCAGGATACTAAGTATCCAGCAGATACTAAGCAGTAAGTTGATCTCAATATCTTGCATGCCCTCAGGGTTTCATGCAAATAGAAGAGTAGAGGTGAGGGCAGAGAGCAGACACCTAGGGCAACTAAACTGACTATCATCTAGAACTTGAAAACATGATTTACTGGGTAGAAACTTTGATTCCAATGTATAAAGTATGCTGTAAAGTAAATAAAGTACTTTTATTTTAAAATGGTAGGGTTGAAGGAATCTCAATAAATTCAACAAATAACTAAATATGATCATGTGGGAACTATTATTTATGAGACATATTTCAAAAAACTATGTCAGTAATTGTAGGACAAAAATATAAGAAATTGCTTTAAATATGGCCACAAATGTAATACACATAATTACAATCTTAAAAATGCTTGAAGCTGGGCTTTGGTGGCATACACCTTAATTCCAGCCACTTGGGAAGTAGAGTCAGGTGCAACTGTATGAGTTCAAGGCTAGCCTGGTCTACTGATTAAGAGTTCCAGGACAGGGAACAAAGCTATATAGATAAACTCTGCCTTGGGAAGATAAGAACAAAACAAACAAACACACAAAAAAAACCTGTTTGTAAATTTCTGTAAATTCTGACCTACACAGTACAATTAAAACCAAAAGTACCTAAGCCTTGGCTTCCTTTGCACCAGAGCTGTAACCTGTGAGCCATATAAACTCTTTCTCCTCAAGTTGGTTCTGGCCAGTCTTTATCACAGTAATAAGAAAAGCACAGATACATGGTGACATGGACTTTAAAAAAAGCCTACCTGGGTATGGTGCGAAGGGTAGGCCAGGGAAGTCCCTTGGTGGAGGCAGGAAGGGTGGGCCACTGAAGTCCCTTGATGTAAAATATCCTGGAGGAACTGCAAGGTTGATTGCTGGAGGAGGTGGTGGGAATGGGAGTGGCCAACTCATAATGGGGCTTCTTGGATCTTCTGCAAAGAGAGGACCTCTGGGGACTCTATCTTGGGGAACCGGTGGAGGGATGAAGCCAGGGCCAGCTGCCTCAAATTCAGTAGGAGAGATGGGCACAGTTGAGTTCTGTAAGAGAGTGACAATCAGCAGTCAGTAAAACCACTTGATGACCAGCTCCTTTCCTGGGAGTGTTAGGCATAGAAGAAAGCAGTCCATGACATTCCACAAGGCCTGGGAACAGGCTCAATTTCCACACCAGTGGAGGAGATGCTTATTTGCTATTCTAAGTATTTTTACTTACTCAGCAGAAAATTTCAAGCAAGGTAATAATAGTCTACCTGGCTCTCCCTAAATCACAATTACAGTTCAGGCACATCCAAACAGACACTTTAAAAAAACAGGTAAACACCAGGCTGTGGGGGCACAAGCCTTTAATTCCAGTTCTCTGGAGGCAGTAAGTGGATCTCTGTCAGTTTGAGGCCATTCTGGCAATATAGTGAGTTCCAGGACTGGTTCTAGAGCTACTGGAAAAACCTATCTCAAAGTGGAAAAGAAAAAAAAGATGGACGCTTGTATCAAACACACAGATATACACACAAACATACACAAAAGGAAAATGGTTAAGATATTGATATTTTGAAATGACCAAAATCAATGCTACATATTTTAAAACTAAAATACATTTTAAGATTCAAATAAAATTTCAATGAAGAAAATCTGAAATAGTGTACAGCTAGCATAGAAAGTTTCAAGTTCATGTAAAAGTTGTTCTTATTTAAGTGGGAGATATCAGGTTTCTTTGTCTTTTTTAAAAAATACTTTTTATTTCATATGTAAGTGTGTTTTGCCTCCATATATGTCTGCATACCATATATATTGACTGTTCTCCAAGGATAGAATAGTGTGTAAGATCACTTATACCTGGAGTCACAAAGGGTTGTTGGCAATATTTGGGTACTGGGAATAAAACCCAGGTCCTCTAGGAGAGCAGACGGTGCTTTTAACTTGGAAACCATTTCTCCAGACTACTTGGTTGGTGCAGACAAGATCTGCTTATATATATAGTCCACACTGGGTTTGAATTTACAATCCACCTGCCTCAGCCTGCCAAAAAGCTAGGATGACATGCATCCTCAAAACCTGCTTGTCATCTGTACTATTTCACCAAAGGTTACAAGCCAACAATGACAGTGTTAATGCTAAGTAGAAGTATACTTTATAAATATTTTGATATCACATAGTAGGAGAGCTCTAGCCTTCCTCTAATAAAACAAAGAAACTAGTTGTGGATACATGGATAGAATTCAATTTCAAATACTTACTCCAGGCTTGCTTTTGGAGTAATTCTTCGTGGACATCATTTCTGAAGATTTTGGTTCATCTAGACAGAAATATTAAACCGGAAAAATTTCATGAGTTTTTACTTTATTCCTAAACCATTTCAATATCCAAATGACACTGACATTGCTGGGACAGGGAACAACTTGACACAAATACACGAGTATTCCATATTAGGGGCCGCAAAGCAGCCTGAGACCTGTGGAAATTACAGTAGACCAGACTTTCTGTTGCAGTGTGCTGGTGACCTTTCCAGCTAGGTCTTAGGCCATCTTGCTGTGGCAGCCAAAGTGAATAACTTGGGATGTAGCATCCACTTCCTGTCTTTTCTGTGTGCCCTCCTTTCCTTCAGTACATAATATATGTTTGTATGAAAGTACCCTTATAGATAACTCAACAAATATACAATGAAAATTTAAATTTTGGAATTTTATTTTTTTCTGTTATTTACTTTAATACCTATCATAGAAACATATATTTCCCAGCTTCAGTGGTTAGTGAGTGAACATTGGAGAGCTCCTGACAAATTTAATCTACCAAATATGAAATGATTAAATAAGATAACTAATTAATAATAAGAACCCAAAGTATTTTACTGGTTATCTTTTACATGACCATTGACTTTTGCCTGTCTAATAACCTTGACTGCTAAAGAGGATATATGTAAATGGATAAAAGACAATGAGAAGTTAGCTATGGAACAGAGTAAAGTTTGTATTATAGCGAGATACAGTCAACCCTTACTCTCATCCCAAAACTAACTTTCAACACATATATTAGGTGACATGCCTGAAAATTGAGACAACAAGAAAGGGCTGGAGAGATGGTTCAGTGCTTAACAGTACTGGATGCGCCTTCATTGGACCTGTGCTTATCTCAACAACCACACAGCAGCTCACAACCATCTGCAAGTCTACTTCCAGAGGCTCTGATGCCCTGTTCTGTCTTTCTCACTTGTCAGGCATGCCCGGGATACACAGAAATACTTTAGAGATGTCAGAGTCATGGGACACCTCTCAAGGAGAGCTGTTCATGGGGAGTGCAACCAGCCCAAGAGAGAGAAGTGCATTGTAGTCAATAAACCTCAAAAGATTTGGAGATCTGAAGAGTGTTTTGACTTCACACATGGAGATGTACAGTTTGGAATCTGCCCAGCTGGTTTTCGATCTTGCTTGCTCCAGTATTTCCTCACTATTACCTTTCCCTATGTTTTGGAATGGTAATGTATGTCCTGTGCCATTATGTGTTTAAAGCATGTCATCTGCTTTGGTTTCTGATTCTATAGCTTGTTTCTTTTTCTTTCTTTCTTTCTTTTTCTTTTTTCTTTTTTTTTTTTTTTTGGTTTTCTGAGACAGGGTTTCTGTGTGTAGCTTTGGAGCCTATCCTAGCACTCGCTCTGTAGTCCAGGCTGGCCTGGAGCTCACAGAGATCCGCCTCCAGAGTGCTGGGATTAAAGGCATGTGCCACCAATGCCCGTTGAAAAGTGGGTTTAAACAAAGATTTAATGATGTCAAGATTACAAAGGTTTCAATATAAAACTTGATTGTAGACAAATACTAAAATCATATGTTCTTCCTACAGGGAAAAATACATACACTGATACATTTTCTGAATTAAGTAAAAAAAAAAATGGGAATGAAGTTAAGTTCATATTGTAAAAATCTAGAATCAGAACAGGAGAAACAGTGCACTCAGTGCAAAGCTGTTCTTTCGGTGTGAGCAAAAACACCTCTTGACTACTGTTCCCAATGACACTCAGGAAACATTCCAGTCACAATCACATTGCTGTGCTAAAGAATGTTACTTACCCAGTCGCTTGACACCTACGGAAACCCCAACTGAACTGGTGAAAACCACTGGCTGAACATATTTAAAGGAAATCCATTGGGTTTGAGAGTGGTGGGTCTCACTCTCTCCATTCCTATCAGTGTGAAAGACCAAAAACAGGAACACCAGTCTGAAGACACTTGAACTCCCTTCCTCAGAAAGAGGGGACTCATGGTGGTTACACCCACAGAACACAATCAACATGATACAAGTTAGAATAAAATGAGAGGGTTGGTGGTGCACACTCTTATTTTTTTTTAACTATCTCAACTTTATTGTTCTTTTTTTTCAACTTTTTTATTTGATTTAGAAACAGGATTGTTTTATATGACAATCCTAGTTCTCTTCTCCCACCCGTCCTCCCCTACAACCTCCCCCCAACTAAAACCCTATCACATATCCTTTCTGCTCCCCCTGGCTGGTGAGTCCTTCCATAGGGTGCCATCAGTCTATTGTATCCTTTGGGATAGGGCATCGGCCCACCCCCATGTGTTTTGGCTCAGGAAGTATTCCTGTATATGGAATGGGTTCCTAAAGTCCACACCTATGCTAGGGATAAGTACTGAACTTGTACAGGAGGTCCCATAGATTTCCGAAGTTTCCTCACAGAAATCCATGTTCCTGGGGTCTGGATCAGTCCCATGCTGGTATTCAAGCTATCAGTCTGGGGAGCAAGAGTTCCCGGATGTTCAGGTCAGCTGTTTCTGTGGGTTTCACAAGCCCAGTCTGGACCCCTGAGCTCTTCACTCATCCTTCTCTGCATCTGGTTCCTGTTCATTTCGGTGATTAGTTGTGGGTGTCTGCTTCTACTTCCACCAGCTGCTGGATTAAGGCTATAGGCTGGCAAATAAGTTAGTCATCAATCTCGTTTTAACGGGAGGGCATTTAAGGTAGCCTCTCCTCTGTTGCTTAGATTGTTAGCTGGTGTCATCTTTGTAGATCTCCAGACATTTCCCTAGTGTCTGATTTCTCTTTAACAAAAAATGTCTCCCTCTATTATATCTCCATTCTTGTTATCATCTATTCTTCCCCAGACTCAACCTTTCTGCTCCCTCATGTCCTCTGCATCCCTCCTCTTCTCCCCTTCTCATTCTCCTAGCTCGCTCCCACCTCTTCCCATGCTCCCAATTTGCTCAGGAGATCTTGACCCTTTCCCCTTCTCCAGGGGATCATGTATGTCTCTCTTAGGGTCCTCCTTGTTTATTAGCTTCTTGTCTGTGTGGATTATAGGCTGGTGATCCTTTACTCTATGTCTAAAATCCGAATATGAGTGAGTACATACAATGTTTGTCTTTTTGCGATTGTGCTACCTCGCTCAGAATAGTTTCTTCTAATTCCATCCATTTACATTCGAATTTCAAGATTTCATTGTTTTTTTTTTTCCAATGAGTAATAATCCATTGTGTAAAAGTACCACATTTTCTCCATCCATTCTTCAGTTGAGGGACATCTAGGTTGCTTCCAATTTCTGGCTATTACAAATAGTGCTGCTGTAAACATCATTGAACAGACGTCCTTGTAAAAAATGTGCTTCTTTTGGTTATATGCCTAAGAGTGGAATTGCTGGATCTTGTGGTAGATTGATCCCCATTTACTTGAAGA